TTCAGAAGTTCTTTTATTGTACAGGATTGTTTTGGCTATCCTGGGTTTTTTTCTTTTCCATATGAAGTTGAGTACCATTCTTTCGAGGTCTTTGAAGAATTTTGCTGGGATATTAAAGGGCATTGTGTTGAATCTGTGAGTTATGGGACTTTTGTTTGTTTGTTTGTTTGTTTAGTTGTGGTTTTGTTTTTTATATACTTTTATGTTTAGGAATATTTTGAAAGCATGACTTTATATACACCCTGTTTATGTCTGGTGCCCATGGAAGTCAGAAAAGATTATGGGATCCCTGAACTGTAGTTACCGATGACTGTAAGCTACCATGTTGGTGCTGGGAATCAAACCTAATCCTCTACAAGAGCAGCAAATCCTTTCACCTGTGTGCCATCTCTCTAGGCCCCAGAAACCAATGAGTTTATTGAGCTTGCTTACAGAGCAGGGGTGAGGAGTTGCTGGCAACAGCAGTGGAAGTCTTTACCCGTTAGTGCCACTCCTTCTGACGGCCACTTTCTTTCAGACCACTACAGTCGCCTCAGTAACATAGCAAGCACTGGATTTCTCTACATGCAGATCTCATTCCCTGTGTCCCTGAGGTAAGGAACTGTCCTTACCTCACTTTATAGAGGACACAGCTGGGCTTGAAGAGAGAAGGTGATGTTTCCAAGGGTACACAGCCCATGAGCTGGAGGGACAAGGACACTGACTTTCTGGGCGCATGATTTTCGCACTTTTAATTTTTTTTACATTTATATATTTGGTGTAGGGGGTAGGTGAGAATGCAGAAGAAGACGGAGGACAGCCAGAGGAAGTTGGCTCTCTCCACCATATGGATTCTTGTGGAGAATCCACCAGATCTGGTGGAGAATCAAACTTAGGTCATTAGCCTTGGCAACAAGCAGCTTTACCTACTGAGCCATTGTTACACTACACACACACACACACACACACACACACACAGAGAGAGAGAGAGAGAGAGAGAGAGAGAGGGAGGGAGGGAGAGAGAGAGAGAGAGAGAGAACTTGCACTCTTTAAACATTATGTTTCCTTGTTTACATCATAAGCCTTTGATAGGGCATGACAAACAGAAGGTAATTAATAAGGAAAAAAACACTTAAAAAGATAGAAGGAAAAACATGAAATTCCTTATGGGATGGATTGCCTACACTGACCCCTACAGGGCCCTGGATCAGTCTAGAACTCCTGGTGGACTCAAGCTCTGACACCATGCAGGTCTCACCTTTGAAGTCAGTGCCTATGGAAAGTGTCTCTCCCAGAAAACTCTTGCTACCTACACATCAAACAAAAAACTAATACCTAGAATGTAGGAAAAAATTCAAAAAGCAAAAAAACTCAAAGAGTAAATGAACAGCCAGTTCTCAAAAGACGAAGTACAAATGACCAACAAACACAGGAAAAGGTCAACCTCATAGGCCATCAGAGAAATGCAAGACCAAACTACATTGAAATTCTATCTTACCCCAGTTGAAATGACAGTCATTAAGAAAACAACACCAAGCCAGGTAGTGGTGGCAGTGCAAATCTTTAATTTCAGCACTCATGAGGCAGAGGCAGGTGAATCTCTGAGTTCCAGGCCAGCCTGGTCTACAAGAGATAGTTCCAGGACAGGTTCCAAAGCTACAGAGAAACCCTGTCTCAAAAAACCGAGAGAGAGAGAGAGAGAGAGAGAGAGAACACGAAAGGGGGGGTGTAAAGATGCCTGCTCTTCCCAAGGAATTCCGCTCCCACTGCCCAAGTCAGGAAGGCCTCTGGTCTCTGAGGCACCTGCACTCTAGTGTACACACATACACACAGTTGAAAAGAAACTAGCAACAGCTGCAGACAAGGGCACTGAGGTAGAGGAAACCTCTACACTACCGATCAACCACCACAGACAGTATGGACAATCTGCAGAACGTCGAAAATAGATGTACCATGGAGCTCACTGTGGTGCTCCTGGCTACTTACCCAAAGCACAATTAAGCCAACATATTACAGAGACACTTACTTTATGTCTTTTGCAACACAGTTGACAATAGCCACTTATGGAATTGACTTAGGTGTCTCTGAACAGAGGAATGAATAGAAAAGTGGGTTGAACACGTAATGGGGGGGGCGTGTATTCAGCCAGAAAAAGAGCACAGTTATATTTTTGCAGGTGAATGGGTTCAGTTAGAGATTATCATATTAGACAAATTTAATCAGTCTCAGAAAGACAAATTTCACATATTTTTACAAATCCTAGATTTCATAAAGATCATATGACAGGAAAGTAGAAGAAAAACTGTGTCAAGAACAGACGGGTCTAATGAGAAGCAGGAAAGGGGAAGAAGTAGGGGGCGAATACGCTCAGAGTACTATATACTTGTATGATGTCCTGATGAGACCCACTAGCACCTACAAGGAAGTTCATAGGTTTTTTTTTTTTGGGGGGGGGGTGTTTGTTTGTTTTGTTTTGCTTTTTTAAGAGTGGAGATTTACCCTAGGCTCCACCGCTGCGTTGACTGGTGTCCCCGCAGACGCTAGGGGGCAGCCGCCACCCACTCAGTAGCCAGAGCCTACGGAGCCCCGGGGTGGGGGGGGCAGCGCAGAGGAGGGGCACCACACTCCCGCTTGTGGGAGGCGGCTGAGGGCGCACGCACCGATTGGCAGTGAGTGAGAGAACCAGGGAGCACCAGGGAAGTGGAGGTCGAGTGGGTATTTGGGTCTGAGGGGGTGGAGCTTCAAATGATGAACAATGTCAGTCCCAATGGAACTGGAAGCTGGGGTGGGCCCAAAAGTGATACAGCTGCGTTTGCAGATTTGGGCGCCCTAGACCTGATTCCTCTGAAACCAAGGAGGAGACCCGACTTGGTATCCTTCTATTAGGAGAGGCCAGAGGCTACAGGGATGGAGGACGGAGGTACGAGGTCACAGGGCTGGGCTCACTGTGCCCTGCCCAGGACCTTCCTCCGGCTGTTTCAGTTCCTCTGTTGGTGTTGTATACCATATCTCACCTGGGCCCAAGGTCAACCCACAGGCAGAAGTTAATTTGACTCTGTGCCAGGTACCTGTGCACCAAGATCTGCTCTCTTCGGTCCATGAATGGCTGAGGCCTGGGAAGAGTAGGGTAAATCACAGATGAGCTATACAGAATTCAGACAAACTACACTACACACTGGGGCCCAAAGACAAGAGGAACTCAGGCAGGGCAGTCTTCCATGCTCTGATCATACTTTTAGGAGACACCGTGTCTCCTTCAGAGGTAAACTACAGCCAGCTAGAGCCTTGCCAGAGCCAATTTTGCACACTGCTTCCGACTTGCATTGAAATGAGCTGTTGTGAGGATATTCACCACGAGGAAATGCAACAAGTTAGAGGCATTTGGTGGGGTTATTATCCGTTGCTGTTTCAGGTTTTTTTTGTTTGTTTGTTTGGTTGGTTGGTTGGTTGGTTGGTTGGCTCTTTTGGTTTTGAACTAAATATTTACCAATACAGTAATATGTTCATTCCGGTGCAGACTGGTGATGTTCACTGAGGAGCTACAGGCCAAGACTGACAAGCAGAAAGCCACAAGCTGATGTGCTGTCCAAAGGCATTAACAGGTGCAAGCACTGGGTCTGCTGCTCGGCAGTGCCTGAACACACACATACACACACAACATACACATACACAACACACAACACATACACATAATAAACATAGAGACACGCACACGACACATACATACACACAGACACACACATGCACGCATACATGACACATACACACACACGCCACACACACGATGGTAAAGACCACACCTAGAAGTAGACTTTTCCTCTTCACCTTGTTCCTCCAGTGGCCATTATTGGCAACCTGATGCTGCACCGCGCAGAAAGGAGGGCGTATTTATAAAACCACAAAGGATGAGTTTGCAGTAAGGAGGCAATAAATTGATCACTGGTCAGCATTCCAAGGTCGTCTGAACCTTAAATGTCCCCCCTTGTTCTCCTCTTCCTTCACACTTTCTACTGGCTGCTAAGCCACCTCCTTTACCTAAGTCTCCACTTAAATGTTGCTTCCTTGAAGACACCTTTCATGGCTCTAACAAATTTCTTTGTCACATAAAGGCCCAGAGATAAGCATGTGTCCTAAGGATCAAATCCTAAAGCAGTTCACACCTGTTTCTATATAGACAGGGCCCTGAGATAAAGATGCTTTTTATTGTGGGGGGTTGGGTTTTTAACTTAAAAAACTTATCTTACTTCATGAGTGTGGGTGTTTTGCATGTCTATCTGTGCTCCATGTGCATGACTGGTGTCCCCTGAGCCCATAAAGGGTGGTTCCCCTGGAGCTGTTGTTATGGGTGGTTGTGAGCCACAATGTGGGTGCTGAACATCGAACAGTTACTGTTCTTAACTGCCGAGCTGTCTCTCTAGCCCCTCTGTCCTGGGTTTTGTTTGTTTGTTTATAATTATCACCTCTGGCTGATAGTTTAGGGCTGCTAATGGCAACTGTCTATAACTCAGTTTTTGCAAGTGTTTTAGTGACCCCACACCTCAGGCATGTCCCTAACCCTCTAAATCAAGAACCCCTTGGGGGCTGGAGAGATGGCTCAGCAGTCAAGAGAATTGGCTGCTCTTCCAGAGGGCTGGGATTCAGTTCCCAGTACCTACATGGTGACTGACAACCATATATAACTCCAGTTCCAAGAGATCCAACTCCCTGTTCTGGCCTCTGTGGACACTGCATGTACACACACACATGTAGGCACTGCATGCACATACACGCACATGAGTACTGCATACACATACACACAGTTGGGCACTGCATACACATACACACACACACACACACACACACACACACACACCAGATACAGGGCAGAGTGAACAGCATACTCAAAGCCACACACTAACAGCAAGCCACAATGGCGCACTTAGAGAAAGACAAAACAAGGTGGGAATGAAACCGTACAAAGTCATACTGAGACCACAACAAAACACAATGACGTTTAGAATAACACACAAAAGAAAGGCATATCGAGAAAATTACAAAGACATGCTTTATTTGCTTAAACTGTGAGGAAAGGGAGAGAACAGACGTTGACGTACCTTCAAAGATCCTGCAGGAGTTCTCGGGTATTTAAGTGGGGCTTTCAGACTGTGAAGTTTATTTTATTTCTTGAAAGTGGGTCTGCAGTTCATTCATGACTAGTCTTTGGCAGGCAGGATTCTCCTTGCATAGATGTTGATGCCAAGGTAAGTTGACAAGGTAAGCAAACAAGGAAAGGTGAGGAAGTTTCCTGAGACAAGTGAGGTCAGAGGACGCACGTGTGACATACCTAAGAGTTTACTTCCTCTCGGGCAGCACACAAAGATTCTTTTGAGAACATGAGGCCTTCCTCCTCTTCTAAGCATGTTTGAGCACAATAAGGCCTGTCACTAACGTTCAAGAGAACGGATTAAGTAAAAGGCCTTTTCTTTTGCTAAGCAGTGGTGGGTTTAAGGCAACTGAGGAGATGAGAATGGAGTCCAGTGCTTGCCTATCACACACAAAGCCGAGTGAGGTCCCCAGCACAGCATAAACTGGGTGTAGTGGTGCCTGAGGATGTGGAGGAAGGAGGTTCAGAGGTTCGAGGTCATCTTCAGCCACAAACGGAGTTCATGGTCAGTCTGGGCTATTTAAGACATAGAAAGAACAAAAAAAAGGGAGGGAGGAAAGTAAGGAAGAAAGAAGGGAGAAAGCAAAAAGAAAGAAACTATGTGTTGAAGTTAGGTGGAAGGATTGGCTTTTTTGGGAAAACTAAAAACCAAAACAACAGCAAGGAAAACCAAAACTAAGCCCTGAAAAGGGTCAGGCATGGTGGTGCACACCTTTAATCCCAGCACTTGGGAGGCAAAGACCAGCGGGTCTGAGTTTGAGATCAGCCAGGTCTACCCAGCAAATTCCAGGACAGTCCCGGCAACATTGAGAGACTCTGTCTCAAACAGAACAGAACAAAACCCTGCACTGCTGGTTTCACCAAGAACTTCTGAGAGTGAAGTCTGAAAGGAGAGACATGAGAACCTCCGCCTTTACACAGCATGCTCATCTCCAGGGAAGGCCGTGGTCCTCACAAGCGTGTCTTGGGAGGATTCCTTTGGGGAGTTTGAAGAGTGCTGATGTCTTTTTTAGACAAGGTTTCACTTGGCTTTTTAATTTTTATTGTAATATTCAATCACATTATAAATGAGCTTTATTAGATGCTGGCTCTATATAAGGACTGGAAAGGGATGCATTTGGAAGTAAAGTAAGGGACCACAAAAATCCTAAGTTACAGAGGTGAGTGATGTCCAGAGGGACAGTGTGGGAGCAGCTTTCTCTGAGCCCAAGCAAAGCAACAAAAACGAGGGAGACCACACTGCACTGGTAACCACCAGAGGGAAGCAGCCAGAGAGCTTCTACTGCCAGCATCTGCAGCAGAGGGGCCGCCTGCAACACTGTGGAATGGACTCAGTAGCCGCTTATTTGACTGCTTTTCTCTCAAGCCAAGTGTAGAAACCTGAAAAGTGCTCTCAGGATAGAGAAAGCCTGCCCTGCAGAACTGGGCTGTGATGAGTCACATTTGCCAAGATAGTCACATCTGTGTAGTGACTGGTAATAAAAAAAAAGTGTACAAAGGGCTTAAAATCAGACATTAATGAAGGAGCCTATCCACAGCACAGTGGCTGATAGACCCTTGGACTCTTAGCTCTAGACTGAACACAATCATGGGTGAATCACCTAACATTCCCTGCCCCACCTAAACTCATTCATCATTTAAGCTGGCTTAAGAATACTTACACTGAGGAAAATTGTGCAACTCTAATTTACCAAAAATCACTCAACTGGACATTTAACACCACAAACTTTATGATATGTAAATTGTCTCTGAGTAAAGCTATACCCACATCATAGAGGTATCACGGGAAATAAGTATAAGCTGACAGCACACTGCCTGGCACACAGCTACTGGACAGCTCATTGGGATCTGTCTCTGGAAGGGGATGGGGCCAGGGCTGAAGCTCAGAGGTGGACTGCTTGCCTGACATACACAAAGCCTTGGGTTATGAAACTCAAGTACTGAAAAAAGAATTGGTGATTAGCGTATTTTCTTAGAGACTGCCTGAAACTTCAGAGATCATTTCATTCAACACCCCTCATTTTGCAGATGAGAAAACCAAAGACCAGGAACTGGAGGGCTCATTAAAGGGAGAGTTCTCAGATAAGAATCCAGGCCTGCAATGTTTTCTTTAGTGCAATTTCTGTTCCTACTACGCACATCACACATGGGAACAAGAGAACTGGAAGACACAGAAGACATGCAGAGATGTTGGAAAAAGAATTCTTGGCCATAAGACACGCCAAGAAGAGCGGTCACATCTACAGCTATTACCCAGAGCCCCCAGCTGGTGGTCGTGAGAGTTCAGATGTTGGAAAGGCCAGGCCTGATTCATTGAGTTATCCAGCTCACCACCACAGCCTGGTGCCTGGCAGAGAAAAGCCACACCACCCTGTTCACTGCTTCCTGACAGGATGGCGGCAGCAGGAGGAGCTAGGACCAAGTGCATGCAGCTGGGATTCTGTGCGCAGCTTGGGATAGCTGCCGCTGAGCCTCTCCAGCCCGTGCTCAGTAGCCGACTTCAGCTGTCTCTCTCTGGTTCTTCCTCCAGGTGTTGAGGCTTCCACGCCATTCTGTAAACTGCTTCCTTTTCGTAGACCCCTCTTCAGATAAGTAAGGAGCGTAGCAGATGTGAAAAGACGCAGGTTCCTGCTTTCTCATTAATGTCGCCATGTTCAAGGGAACTTGATAACATGACTGGAAGAATTTAAGGCGGGGGGTGGGGGGGGTGGAGGGGTGGGCTTACTAAGGTACCCAAGGCTACACAATGGCCTGGAGAATAGGTCACGATTTTCTAACATCTCAGGAGACAGTGAGTCACTCTGTAGTTTGTGGCAGTGAATCCTGTCCCCACTTTCACAGAGAACAACAATTTAGACACAGGTGCAGACCCTGTGGGGAGGGAAAGAAGGAAGGAAAGGACAGAGGAGAATTAAGGCCTGAAACAATTTTATGATTTAATTCAGAACACAAACTTCTCAATAAATAGTTCATGAAACTGCCCCGTCACTTCCACCAGCTCCCACAGCCAAGGCTCAGGGCATGGGCAGAGGAGGGCCTGTCCTTGCATGTGACCCAAGGACGGGGGACAGAGTGTGAAGGAATGAAGAGCCTGCTTCGGCCGTCCCACACAGTGGCCTGCAGGTCACTCGACACAGTGGACACTCTGGTGTCGGAGGAGGTGGGAGCTCCGACTGAAGGTCTTCTGGCACTCCTGACACTCGTACGGCTTCTCTCCGGTGTGGATTCTCTGGTGGATGGTGAGCTGCGAGTGCTGACTGAACGTCTTTGCACACTCCCGGCACTCATAAGGCTTCTCTCCAACGTGAATCTTCTGGTGAAGCAGCAGCTCCGAGTTATCCCAAAAGGTCCTTGCACACTCGTGACACTGGTGGGGTTTCTCCCCAGTGTGTATTCTCTGGTGGACAACTAGGTGAGAGGTCCGCCTGAAAGCCTTGCCACACTCAAAGCATTCAAAGGGTTTCTCTCCAGTGTGAATCCTCTCATGTCTGAGAAGTTCTGAGTTACCCCTGAAGGCCTTCCCACATTCCTTGCATACATAGGGCTTCTCCCCAGTATGAATTCTAATATGTCTGATAATCTCTGAGTTCTGCCCGAAAGTCTTCCCACATTCATTGCACTCGTAGGGTTTGTCCCCGGTATGAATTCTTTGATGACGGATAAGCTCAGAACTCTGACCAAAGCCTTTCCCGCATTCGTTACACAGATAAGGCTTTTCTCCAGTATGGATTTTCTGGTGTCGGATGAGGCCCGAGCTGTGCTTGAAGGCTTTGCCACACTCGTTGCACTCATGGTACCTCTCTTCAGTGTGAATCCTCTGGTGCTGAATAAGCTGGGAGCTGACCCTGAAGGTCTTCCCACACTCATTGCATTCGTACGGTTTCTCTCCAGTGTGGATTCTCTGGTGCAGGATAAGGGCTGAATTCTGGCTGAAGGCTTTACCACATTCTTCACATTTATAAGGCCTTTCTCCTGTGTGAATTCGATGATGGTGGATAAGATGTGAGCTCTGAATGAAGGCTTTCCCACACTCGTTACAAGCAAAGGGCTTCTCCCCGGCATGAATTCTCAGGTGCCTTCGAAGGCTGGAGTTGGTTCCAAATGTCTTTCCACACTCTTTGCACTCAAAGGGTTTCTCTCCACTGTGAACTCTCATATGCTGGATGAGATGCGAGTTCTGATTAAAAGCTTTTCCACATTCTTTACATGTGTGAGGCTTTTCTCCCACAGAAGTCCTCTGTGCTTTATGCAGCTGGACGCTCTCCATGAGGCTCTGGGCAGAAGTGGCAAACACGCTAACCCTCTCTGCTGGAGGGTCTCCACGGCAGAGCACCACCCTTGGGTCAGGGCTGGAGCCGCTGTCACTCCCACTACTACCCTGCTCTTTCTCACCTAAGGATGACGTCTTGACGATAACTAACCCTGATGCAAAGTCTCTCTCCTGAGGAGACTTTCTCAGATGTCCCTTTAATACGTCTTCTTCACCTGCCGCTCCAAACCCATGACCTTGGTAAACCTCCTGTGAAAGTTTTTCGAACACTGGCCCATGTGGCTTGGATTCTTCAGAAATTTCTTCCTTTTTCTCAGTCCCCATATCACAGCCTGCAATGAGAGGGTGAGTGTGTGAAGCTGTGCCCTATTTAAATGACACCACACGGTGGACATGCTAAACAGCAAACACTGACCATAGAAAGTGAGAAAAACCGTCTTCGGCAGGGTGCGAAAGACAGAAAAGGGACCAGATGGTAAAGAGAAACTGGCAAAAGCTGTATGACGCTGACAGTGAGTTAGGGGAACTCAAAAGTGCTGAAGAAAACATGTAGGGAAATTAATGGCCATATTAACAGAATATATGGAAAAGGGAAGAAAAAAGCAACGTGACAAGTTAACAGAAATAACGTTTGAGTTTAGGATGAAATAGCTACACAAGAGGACACAGTCTTAGTCTAGTCTGCATTACCCATCTGCCCTACAGAGCAGGCCACAGTGTAGACGCGTCACCTGGTCAAAGGGTTGACATGACATAGCTATAATCAGAACAAGAGTAACTTCTTCCCCTCTACATTTGGATAATGAGAGGGTCCATCTTTAAATCTCCCCCAAATGACAAATGAATTGTATCAAATGTCATATGGATCCCACTCAGCTCTAGTAATCAATTTCTTTTCTCCAGCATCAAACTGATCAACCTTTTGAAGCTTGATAAAAAGAGGCAGACACGGTGGCAGGTGTATGTAACCAGCACTCTGGAGACTGAGACAGAAGAACCATGAGCAGCAAGCCAGCCGGGGCTGTACCGTGAGATAGTGACTACAGCCAGCCGGGGCTGTGCCGTGAGATAGTGACTACAGCCAGCCGGGGCTGTGCCGTGAGATAGTGACTACAGCCAGCCGGGGCTGTGCCGTGAGATAGTGACTACAGCCAGCTGTTGCTGTGCCGGGAGATGGTAACTAAAAAGGTACTTTAAATGTCGCTGAGGTTACTTCTCAGAAGTCTTCTTTTTCTGATGTTTATTATCTATTCTACAAATATTTTTTTCAAATAAATTTTAGTGTGACTTCATAAACTATTCAAACTTAGTGTGTGATAAGGTGTAAAGGAGGGCTGGGCTGGAGAGATGGCTCAGTGGTTAAGAACGCTGGCTGCTGCTCTTACAAAGTGCCCAGATCCAGTTCCCAGCACCACAGGATGGCTCACAACCATTGACAACTCTAGTTCCAGGGCATCTGATACCCTCTACTGGTCTCCTTGGGCACCAAGCATGCACATGATACACACATATACATACATGTAAACACTCATACTTGTAAACAAAAATTAAATCTTAGAACAAAAGACGAGTTAAGAATCAAAGACAGTAAATCAGATCACACTTAATTTGAGGGATGATAATTAGATGGGTAATGATGCGCCAAGCTTTGGGATCCTGAAGGGATAGCTAGTTTAAGCAGGAAGGTGATGAATGAACCGTTTTGGACAAGCCTGGTTTTGAGATATCCATATAGAGGCAATTTTCATACTGGTCTAAAAGCTTAATACTAAAGTCAATACTAGACACCGATTTGAGAGGGCTCAGCATGAGCATCATATAAAAACTACCAGAGACTGAAGACAGAAATTTAGAATCCAAAATCAACGGTAAGGAAAACCATTATCGTATTAATTGTACTTCCCCCAACCCCTCCAAGGTCTTTCTACCTCTCTCCACCCTGCTCTCTGGCCAAGAACACTAACTTGTATGGCACACAACAGGTCCTTTGGCTTCCAGATGCTTCTACCAATGAGAGACTCAACAGAAGACTGGAGAGATGATGGTCAGCTGATTTATTCTGGTTCCTTCCTGTGATACTGCCTTGAGCTATTGGTGTCCCTCAACTGAAAGTCCTCCTAAGGAGTCTATTCCACTCGATTCTTCAACACTCTGCCCAGCCCTGTCACAAACAATTAACCTCTTGGCTACTAAACCTCCCTCAAATTAACCTAACTTGAGTGGGTTATGTTCTTATTCACCCTCTGAGAATAAAGGGGTAGGTGGAGAAGAGAAATCTTCAACAGAAGAAGAAATGGTTAACAGTGCCACGGAAGTCACCACGGAAGTGGCAGAGGGAACTGGAAAGCATCTATGTTGTCAGGTATGGTGGCACATACCAAGAATCCCAGTTACTATGAAACCTGAGGTAGGAAGATTTTGAACTGGAGGCCAGTCTGGGCAACTTAACAAGACCTACTCCCCCCTTATTAAAACAAAACAAAACAAAAGACCTAGGAACAAAGTCCAGTGTCAGCATTTACCAGGCACACACAGGCACAGTGGGAGTCGATTCTCAGACCCTCAAAACAAAATCGAACACCATTTAAGCAGATGGGAGATCCAGTGGTTTAAAAACTAGAAACTGTCTCCTGGGACAACAAAGGAACCGCAGATGAAACAGAGACACAGGAACAGGGCCTGAGAGACGGGTTTGTTGCAATATAAGAGTGTTACAAGGACACGGGTTTTCTCTGGTGACAGATTTGAAAATGTTCGTACTAAAGGGGGTGGTACTGGAAGAGCAACAGGGCTTAAGGAGTGAGAAAATGCGAGGACAGTGAGGACTGGAGAGCCCACTAGGGGAGGCAGATGAGTCAGGTGATGAGGGAGATGCTGTGTGTAGACAGAGACTGCACTTTCATCTCCTGGCCGCCCAGACACAAATAATCACACAGGAACTATAATTATAATACTGTTTGGCTGATGGCTCGGGCATATTTCTAGCTAGCTCTTACATCTTAAATTAACCCATTTGTACTAGTCTATGTATTGCCACATGGCCATGGCATCACCTCATTTTTGACATGTCTTATTTCCTCAGCAGCTGACTGGCGTCTACTTGACTCCACCTACTCTCTCGATACATCTCTGTTCAGATTTCCTGCCTGGCTTTACTTTGCTAAGCCACTGGCCAAAACAACTTTATGCATTAACCAATAAAAAGCAACACACATACAGAAGGGCATCCCACATCACTGTGGTCCACTGAACTATATGGTGAGAATACAGCTAACAAAATCACAAGGTTAGCACCCAACTTGCAAAGCTTTGGGAATATTTGCCTTTTGAATAGTTGCTGTCATTTCTGTAAAACCCTGTGAAGCCACAGTGCTCCCTGCTGTGGGACAATGATCTTGTACCCTGTAAAGATTTATAAGTTGTATTTCTTTAATAAAATGCTGATTGGCCAGTAGCCAGGCAGGTAGTAGAGGCTGAATGGACAGGCAGGAAATAGAGGTAGGGCAACGAGAACAGGAGAATTCTGAGAAGAGGAAAGCTCAGTCTGCAGTCTGCAGAGGAAGCAAAATGAGAATGCCTCACTGATAAAGGTAAAAAGCCACGTGGCTAACACAGACAAGAATTATAGGTTACTGTAAGATGTAAGAATTAGTTAATAAGAAGCCTGAGCTAATAGGCCAACCAGTTTATAATTAATGTAAACCTCTTTGTATTTCTTTGGGACTGAACAGCTGCAGGATCAGGGGGATAGGGACCTTGGTCAACACTACCCCTTTCCATAGTAGAATTCATCACAAAGAAACCTCAGCAGTGTATTTATCAATTACTGGGCATAACTCCCCTCTGTACTGGTAACTGACTGACCTTTCCCCACACTGTGGGGTCCTGGTGTAAAAATATTCACTCAAATCTTTGTTCTCACAGTCAAATCTACATCAAACCAGCCCCAGAGAAAGGAATTTCTTCACACCTGGGCATCAGTGGTTACGAAAGCCTCACTGTATAGCCTGGCATTGGAAGCAGCAGTCTCCAGAAGTTACACAGTGGCAGCTTTTCACTTTAACCTAGTGATAAGAGATTCTCTCTAATCAGACAGCATTTGGTGAAAATACCAATGCAGATCAAGCACCATCCTTCCTCCCCGCAGCTTACACTGATTGCCACGGCTACCATAATGCTGTATTCCCAGCCACCACAGGGATAGAAGTGCTCAGAAAGTACACAGCAAGGCTTTCTTTCTACATTTATCAATTACAAATTTTAGCCTAACTAACACACACAAACTTCCTCTCTCCCCTCCTAGACTTCGGAGCCCCATCCTCTATTTACCCTTGACAGATATGCCCCTGTCCCGGCACTTCACAGTCAGGCCCAATTCTGAGTTAACAGGTGCCTGCTTTATCAGCCTTATCTACCATCTTGGCCCAGAAAAATGCATGCCTGGTAACCTTGTTATTGCCAAAGAATTGCTAATTGTGTCTGTGTGGGTGTGTAAACTGGAAGCTTTGTGCGATCAAGAGAACACTGGAAGAGGGAACACCAAGAGGGAGAACACTGGAAGAGGGAACACCGAGAGGGAGAACACTGG